TGAAGTTCAACATCTGCATAAACGGTTCTCAAGAATACCATATAAGGAGATGATGTTCAACATCTACATCTCTTTGATAGAGAACTAGGGATGCTTTCTCACACTCCTTAAGTTGTTAATATATCAACTCACAGTGACTGGCTTTGTAGTTGTTCCCATTTTTTCAGCTTCATGATGCAAAGCTCTGAGAACGTCCAACTGCGGCGCATTGACAAACACGATGTATGGCATGAATTCTGCAGTCTTCAAAGTCTTTAAACACTGTGAAAAATAGATGATTTGGAAAATGATGAGCAAAACTGAACTGAATAAAAAAAAAATTCTGTATACAAATAATTCCATACAAAAACTTAGCTTATTTATTTGCAAGGGTGAATTGATAATACAATGAGAAATTGAAGTCGAGGGAGTCGTCATCTGCGCATGCGTCAGATGGCCATAGCGTGTCACTGTTTACAAACAACATCTACCCAAGAGCGTTTGCATTTTTAGCGTGTGTTGTTATCTTTGCTTGGGACTCAATTCCCACATGTGCGTGGGTGACGACCCTCTCACTTTAATGTTTCAATTATAAATCATAGACTGAAAAAATGTTTTTTCATACACGAGATACAAATGACTTTGAAACATTTCAGCCAAGACTACATTTTATAGACAAGCATGCAATATCAAAGCTATAACAAATGATTGACGCAAGTGATTACTAAAACTTTCTCATCTTCGCACATTCTCAGTCTTTTACATGTTTCGCACATCGAACAACATTCCAAACTTATGTGATTTCTGTTGAACGTAAACTGCTTAGATTTCATGAGATTATTTGTGAGGCAGGGAAATTTTGTTGCAGCGAAGATTTCTCTAGAGCCCTACAAGCGTCAGTGACTTTCTCAAATGCTATCAAATGCCACAAGCAAAAATTAAGCGGTTCACAGTAATCACAATCATACGTACCTGAGGATTGACATCTATGACGCACATTTTACCGGACCTGATTACGCCGCGTATTGATTCAATTTTAGTTCCGTACAAATTTCCTTCATATTCGCCAAATTCCAAATATTGGCCGCACTTGATATCATCTTGTACAGTCTCCTTCGAATTGAAGTGATAACCGCGACCATCTTCTTCACCTTCCCTGGGAGCTCTTGAGGTATCTACAATTGATAAAATATATCAGAATCCATACCACAAGACAAGGTAATCAGAATGAGAAATCTGTTCGAACAAAACCCTGTGTAGGCGTAACATGACAAAACGTCTGAAGTGTTTTCAACTAAAATTTATTCCAGCTAAAATAAAGTATTTGACACGCAGATCGCCATAAACCAACTGATCTGCCACATACCGCGCGTGGAGCTGTGGGAAAAGTGATCGGAACTATTTCCACATTCTGGAAACACAGGTGGCGCTATTCGATTTGTTTGCGGCGATCTGCGAGTCAATGCAATATTGAGAAAAATTTGAACTCCCAATTTACATGCATTTTAATGCTAATAAAATAAGACATTCTGATGAGTGTTGTGGGTTATTTTAATTGATCAACTCATTAAAGATTAAATCTTGCTAAAAATCGGTAGAAATACTTGTATATAGTTCCCTGGAAGAAATACTGAGTAAAATGGTGGCGGAAGGATATAGAGCCTTCAGAGGCTACTTATGTGTCATGAGACACAGGTCTGTGCTGAATAGCGCCACCTGTGTTGACAATGATTTTACAGTTATGTAGTGAAATGCATTGCACTTTCCACAAAACTAACAATAGCATACTCACATGGCATCGTTGTCCCAAAGCGATTGGGATCATGATTAATTAATTTATTTTTCAGTGTTCGTCTCCCGACTCCCTGAGCACCGATAAGTACAAGTGTTTTACGCTGAAACGGTGGCATTCTTGCGACCTCCTCATATATCATCAGTTCATGACGGTCAAAGTCCTGATTTCTGTCGGACTGATACATGGTTTTTCTTTTCTTCTTGGAAACGAACGTACCACATGCTGGAAATATAAATATTATATTAAGTTAAACAACATAAAAATATTGTGTTCAAGCTTTGACTAATATACAAGTATCAAGTTCCGCCGTAACCAAAAAACTGTGGTGTAATAAACATTTCAATTTCCAAGGTTTTAACAACGGCTGGATACGGAGATAAGAATAAGAATAATTGTCACAGAAAGGTATGAGTGGGGTTATTAACAATTATTAGAGCCTAGTATGCAGTGTGGTACTCTAATAATGAAGACTACTTCACAGATTCACGATTTCTTGCATTCAGCAAGATCTTCCCTACAATGTCACCTTAGTTGCGAACCCTTATTTTTGTATTTACCCTTGATCCTAAACATCACATGATAAAGCAATAGACCATTTTCCGATCACCGCGAGATCCAGCGTTATTGACAGTACAAACAGGAGAAACAAAGATCGCGGTGTTGTAGTGGCGTCGAAACATAGCGTTGGATTTAACAGAGGTGAATTTGGGGGATATTTTTGCGCTTGATAATGTCCTATACACATTTGATGAAGTACAGGCATCTCAATGCAATATTCTTCTCTTGAATAAAACAAAGAAATTTAAGTTCAAAACAAAATCGCTTGATTCGCGCCTTCCATGCTATACCTAAGATCTAGCAGTGAACGAACAAGTACCGATTGCTATTGTACACACAGAATGTGTGAACACTAGTCTACATGTTTTTGACAAGAACTCACTTAAATTTTCTGTATACTTAAATTCACGTGGTACAAATGCTTTTCTTCGTTCTTCTAATTGCTGACTTGGAATTAGTCCAGCGGGTGAGTTGTCGTCAATATGACGTGCCTGTAAAAGCAATAAACAAACGCACATCAGTGATCGGTATTAATATTGTCAACATATGAAAAACTGTTCACTGTCCCATCTTTTCTATACAAGTGATGCATGCGCTTGTTGAGATTCAATCCAAAGTCGCCACAAACCCTAAATCTGATTGGTTAATGCAGTTATTCTTGATGGCGTCACGCTTAAGGGCTCTGCACATTATTACGTCATAAAGTCAAACTTGCCACCTCGATTCCCTTGGGAGGATACAACCCCTGCTGCTATACACAGGTGCACATGGTTTGGTGCCAACATTTCATACCTGGTTCCTATTTACTCCTGAGTAGAGAGAAGCATTAGGAGTAAAGTACCTTGCCCAAGGATACAGCACCATGGCATAACCAAGACTCAAACTCACAATCCTGTGATTGTCAGTTCAGTGTTATAACCATAGCTCCATGGTGCCTCAAGATTACTGTACCCCCATGTGTTTCATTTAGTCATATGATGCTGTTTGCGCTTACTTACTCAACTAGTGTATGCAGGGTATATGATATACAAAGACTATCATTTAGTTTTGTGTTTGAAACTTCAAAACTAAACAATCAAAAAACACTCATTTCCTTTACAAAAAAGTCGTTATTATAAAAATTTTAGTTATCCACAAAAGGTCCCGCAAATCTTTAGTGTGAGGGCGCTATACTGCCACATGAGGGCGCTGTACATACCTGCCACCAGTTAGGATCGTCCATGTCAACTATTTGTAGGATATCTCCACGTTTGAACTTTAACCCAGCTTCCTTGCATGGGATTAGATTGTCTTTCTCATAGTCATAGTTAAAATGACATTTCATAAAGACCTTGAAAACAAAATGCAAAAAGTAAACATTTACCAAACATAATTTGAGTGAACTTTAACATTTTTGTTTTGGTAACAAAAATTGTAATAAAAAAAATTATGTTATGGAGTTCAAATGGGTCAGTTGAAGTCCAGTGTATGGTGCCCTCTAGGGGTGAACCTCACCTGTGATGTTATAGGATTTTCTTGATAACTTGGTAATATTTTTAATGTAATGCTACCCGTTGAATCTTTCATAATTTCTTGTAATTTCTCAGGATCGTTGGATACATCAACATTGTTAATTTCCGTGATTATATCACCAACATGTAACAGACCTGAAACATAGTAAAACAGTTGTAAGATTTCCCTGAGTAATTGTCTGTGTCTTCACATGACAGTACAACATACATTTCAGCTTTTTTAAAATATCAATTTGATATCAATATTATTTATTAGCATTAATGAGTTCATATATGAATTGTTTCTGTGATGTATTGAATGCAGTGCGCCCTCTATGGTGATTTGAAGCTCTACTAGCACGCAGATTTTCTGTGATGCAACTCGTAATGCTAAATTGACTGACAGGTCATTACTGCAACATAAAATTGTACATTGATATAGTGATCTTGAGAATCATTTTACTATAAGATACAGAATTTGTAAGTTGGTAAAATGCAAATCACATTTTATTAACAAAATAAATTATTTTAACAAATTAACAAATTGGTGAAATTAATATTTACCGTGAAAACTAATATTTACTATACTAACATCTCATGGTTATTAATTGATTAACTTTATTAACCAGTGAGATCCTCAATGTTTAAGTACCTTGTTTATCAATAGATCCACCCTGGAGTATTCTTGCAATGATCAGCGAGTCTTTGTCTTGCTTCACCGTCAACCCCTGGAATGATAATGATGAAAAAAATATTTGAGTATCACCCATTGAGGGTATTTTTGATTTTCTAAGTTTTATTTTTTAACGCTTGTTACCATTTCCAATTTGAATTTTTATTTGAAACATGTTCTGACATGTTGATTCACAACTATTTTCCACAATTCAAGCTTTCATCTCTCGCAAAAATTCTATCATATTAAACATGTGATAAAATCATGATAACGTCTCATTTTTAACTGAATCATTACAAAATGACAGACATATAAATTGCACAGTTCGTTAAAAAGACAACTATAAACCACACGCTAAATATTGTGTACAAACACAAGATATCATTCACTCACATTACAGATGGCAAATATTCTTTTTGTACAAATGACCATATTTCGGTGGTTATTACATGCCTCTATGATACATGATGTTTACTTTCCAAAACACATAGCAACAGTCTGTACACATAGCAACAGTCAATAGACACTTAACTGTACCACTAAATACTGCATATGTTCCTATTCTGAACAACGTATCAAATTTGCGATAAAGTAAACTTGTCTAATAAAAGCCAACTAACCAATGATTCATGTGGTGATTTTCTTATGCCAACCATACGAACGGCATCTGCTAAACCCTGTCCATTGTACATAGGTGGATATGGAGAACTCAATAAAACTGGCGATGGTGGTGGCGTCTCGTATGATCTTGCTGCTACTGCATCATGTGTTTCTATTAAAGACTATGTCAACAGGAGAAAATGAAGAATAATTTTTTCCACATTATTTTCAAAAAGAATTGATATGCAGGAATAGGAAACTATGTATTTGGTTCAAAATTAACATTTTAAGAAATTACCAAAAAAATACAAAAAAATGTGTACAATGTTGCATAACAATTTAGGCAAGAAAAATTCCAAGCTAAAAACGCAATGAAATTCTGAAGAACTGCAAAAATGATCAGTTTACAGACAGGTATCAAGTGATTTTTTTTAAAAAACAAGCCAAGATACAAGAAAAAGATGTTCAGTTCTGACATGTATATTTTTTTGCAACTACAACATTACCTGGAAATGAGGTTCTTGTAGGAGGCCGGCTAATTCAGCGGCATCATCGTTATAGTGGATGGCGTTTCTGAGATCATATAGCAGATCTTGGACGAGTTCACCGTTGTTGTCTCGCACAGCTCTGATTTTGTTGTCTTCCAGTCTGTCATGTGCCTACAGTAGAGAAAATACATGTGTGGAGTGAATAACAAATAATAAATTGTGACAAGTTTGCATATAGCACTTATTTTTGAGTTTCCCTTCAGATTAAACTAAATCAAAACAAAGATTGACACATATCAAGAATGATTGAATGAATATATCATATACAGTCATGTTTTCTGAGGTATAGATTGGAATTTAGTTAAATTTCTGAATTTGTTTTTGCAATTACCCATATTATGGACCACTAGTTTTTAGGCAGGCAAAAAAAAAATCACGAAATTGTTTGTGTTGTATTGAATTAAACATGAATTTTACTTCATATATTCTGGGCAGAGTACGGTGCTATGGTTCTCAATGTATTATTACTGTAAACTGCTTAATTTTTACTTTCAGGAATTTTCGCAATCCGATGATTTTATAGCATTCATGAAGACATAATTTTTGCAAGTGTAGCTGTTATGTGGTGTCATCTTTTCAAAATTACATGATTTTCACTCACATAATTCACAAAGTTACTTTTCATAGAAATTTTAGAAGAAATTTATGGGAAAAAAAAGCATGTTAATATTACACTATTAAGAGGTTATCTACATTCTATGAAAACCAAATCTTGTAGTTTTCAGATGGACATGTTTATTTTTGTGAAGACAACAATTTTTTTCAAACAGCGCCCTCTGCAGGCAAATTACACAATTATCTTGTTTATGAACCATAAAGCCTCAGTTGAAGTACCTTGAAATTCAACAAAAATGTTTGGTTCTGAGAAAGAACTGAAATACCAAATATGGGATTAAAATCACAACTACTTATTGTTTTTCTGTTGTTTTACAATTGTATAAAAGGGATTATGCTACATTGAGTGGAAAAAAAATGGTATGTCTGGACACTGCAACGGTTTCAGTACATAAACGATGAGCCTACAGGTCTGCCAAAGCTGCCCATTTATTAGACACAAAACTCCTGAGAGATCAGCAGGGGTTATAAAATCAGCTTCTAAGAGAAGTGGGCGTGTAGGAGGGGAAGGCTTACCTTAACCAATGATTTGACGACAGGACTATCCATGATGCCCTTTAGAAATATCAGGTCTGTTTCGTTAGCACCGGCATCATGTAAATCATCAAGGTTTTCCATGACTGTCTGCACTGCAGCTACAATGCAAGTAAAAGAAATGAACGTCAGTCCTTGTCGTCTTTTGATAAAGCTACCACAACTTGTTGGTATTCAGAATATTATTTCCAGATCAGGAAAAATGAAAGTGTGATTTTTGTAATTAGACCCCTTGTAACTTGTACAGGAAATATTCAAAAATAAAAACAGATTCATACATCCTTATTGTAACATTATTACAACAAGAATTCATACAATTATATCCATATACAGCGAAGGCAATCAGTCTCAACACAAGTCTGTCAAGACTCTGGAAAATCAAGGTATGTACCAAAGTTTACACAAAGTCTGTTCTTGCATGCATGCCTGAAATCTGGAGGATAATATAATGGTTATTTGAAGAGGCAGCACCAGTCAACCACCTTTTATTTTACCCCCCCCCCCCCAAAATAATGTGACCTATATCTTCAAGGATTGGTATTAAAAATTCAACCATTTTACATCCAACATAGCCACCATGGATTAACCTTTTCACTACCAGTTCCCTCTTTTCATCTCAAATTCACAAAATAGTCCCGTTTATAGTCTGCACTTTCAGTCACAAATTTAGGATTCATTTCCAGAAATATTGTAGAATATCGATACGAGAAAAAAGTGCAGAAAAATTTGGGTGAGAAACCTGGCGGTGAAAAGGTTAAAGCATTCGGAATCAGCTCCTGATGACTGCACACACGGTTAGAGACAAAGCGTAGTAACATTGATAATCCCCTTTTTAGGATTTTTAGAACTTAATAACTGGCATTTAACTTTTTTATTCTTAGCAACATCTTTATTTTTCGTAGTATCCCTTACCAAACTGTTTTTTTGTGGCAACTAGTTCGCACGCTTGTGGCAAGCATAGCGCAAGCATATTTGATTGCCAGAACATTCTGGCAACTAGTTGCCGATCATTGCCAGTAGTGGCAATCATTCTGGCAACTACTTAGTTATTTGTGGCAACATTGCCACAACACAGAGTAAACATAATTTTGTGGCAACTATGCGGCAAAAGTGGTAATTTATAGAGTGGGCATAAGTGTATGTATATCTTAGCCGTAAGTAAAAAAAGTTGTGTGACGTCAACATTGAATATGTATTTAAAATCTTTCTTTATTACGCATCACATTTGACTTACAAATTACAAACTTATACTGAATTCAAAA